CCAAATTCTTTTAGAGTCAATTGAGTTTCTGGGGTTTCACTACAAAGCACCTTTCAAACAGAGCTTTTGTGTACAGTTTTTGAAGTTTGCAATAACCTCCTGGTCCATGGGCTGCAGGAGAGGAGTGGTATTAGGAGGCAAAAACTTGCCCTTTTAATGAAGCTCATGCCCCCAAAAAGTCGCTCTGCCAAGTCTGTAGGATGACCAGGGGCAATTGTCTAACACCGGGAGGCACTTAAGGTCTAATTTCTTTTCAGTTAGTAATTTTTCCATTGGGGGCAAATGCTTGGTGTAACCAGTCATAGAAAATGTCCCTAGTGACCCATGCCTTATTGTTTGCCCTCCACAGCACACTCAAATTAGCCTTGAGGTATTCTTTTGCCTGAACACTCTGGGAGTTTCAGAGTGATACACTAATAAAGCTTCACTTTGCAATCACCACTAGCATTGGCACACATGAGAAGAGTAAGCCTGTCTTTCATAGGCTTATGTCCTGGGAGTGCCTTTTCCTCCTGAGTAATGTAGGTCCTGCTTGGCTTTTTTCTTCCAAAACAGGCCTGTTTCATCACAATAAACACTTGTTCGGGTTTCAGTCCTTCACTGTCTATGTACTCCTTGAATTCCTGCACATATTTTTCAGCTGCTTTGTGGTCCGAACTGGCAGCCTCACCATGCCTTATCACGCTATGTATGCCACTACGCCTCTTAAATTTTCTCAAACCAACCTTTGCGGCCTTAAATTCACTCACATCACCACTAGTTGCAGGATTTTTCTAATTAAATCCTCTTTGCAATTTCCCTAGCCTTTTCACTTATGATCGCTTGAGAGATGCTACGCCTGCTATCTGTTTTTCGTTTATCCCACAATAACAGTCTCTCAACATCTTCTATCACTTGCGATCTCTGTTTCAAAAGCACAGTTAAACCTTTGGCAAGAACAGCTTCCTTGATTGCGTTCTTTTGGACACAATAGAAGCGATGGTTGATTGGGTTTACTAAAACAACCTGGCGAGCTCAGAGACACGCACTCCACTTTAAAGCTTATCAATGATCTCTTTTTTCCCATCTCCATAGTAATTCTCCCCCTTATTCCTGTAGGGTTGGCACTAGAAGCTTTCTTGGGGCCCATGGTCACTTATTTTTCAGGTGAAATCACTATAAAAATGCTGTAATAATACGAAATGTTCCGATTGTATGCTTGAATGTTACCGCGGAGGCTGGCTTATAAACAATGCCACTGGCAGAACAAGTGAGGCTGGCTCAGGCCGCATGGGAGTGTCTCGGACGAATCGCGTTGAGCGAATTTTTTAGCACTGCGAGGCAAAATTTTAGCGATAAAATGTATCGCTATGCGGATTTAACACTATGCGATGCCAACGTTATGCGGGGGTCCACTGTATATATATATACAGTGGACCCCTGGTTAACGATATTTTTTCACTCCAGAAGTATGTTCAGGTGCCAGTACTGACCGAATTTGTTCCCATAAGGAATATTGTGAAGTAGATTAGTCCATTTCAGACCCCCAAAGATACTCGTACAAACGCACTTACATAAATACACTTACATAATTGGTCGCATTCGGAGGTAATCGTTATGGGGGGGTCCACTGTATATATATATTATATATATATATATATATATTTCTTTCAACACACCGGCCGTATCCCACCGAGGTGGGGTGGCCCAAAAGGAAAAACAAAAGTTTCTCCTTTCACATTTAGTAATATATACAGGAGAAGGGGTTACTAGCCCTATATATAATGATGATGAAAGTATATTTTCTTTTTGGGGATTTTCTTTCTTTTTGGGTCACCCTGCTTCGGTGGGAGACGGCCGACTTGTTAAAAAAAAAATTCTATGTATTGTTCTAATTATAATTAAATTAATTTTTATTTAAAGAGCCGATCTCAAGAAAATTGATTTAGGCCTAAGAAATTAGACTGAGGCAATTTACATAAAATTTCTAAGTGTTCTTTTATCATGTTTTTTGGTCATATCTCTAACTACTGCTTTATCTATTTAATGCAGTCTCTAATAGAAAAGAAGTTTGGGTGAGAGAATTCCAGTGAACCCATTTTGAATTAAATCCTATATTTTTTTTTTTTTTTTAATTTAGGGATCTTGTGCCAAACCCAAAGAAAACTGGCACCCTGCCTGACTTGAGGTGGGTTGTGCTACAGACATGCTTTTAACCCTTTAAGGGTTTCTGACGTACTAGCACGGCTCACGCAGCAGGGTTTTTGACGTACTAGTACGCCTAAATTCTAGCGCCCTCAAATCTAGTGAGAGAAAGCTGGTAGGCCTACATATGAAAGAATGGGTCTATGTGGTCAGTGTGCGCAGTATAAAAAAAATCCTGCAGCACACAGTGCGTAATGAGAAAAAAAAATTTGTTTTTGGTTTAAAACAGCGACTTTACACTGTATTTTCGTATGGTATTTATGATGGTATTCTAGTTTTCCTGGTCTCATTTTATAGAATGGAAGACATATTACAGAAATTGAGATGATTTTGATTGGTTTTACAATGAAAAGTACCTTGAAATTGAGCTCAAAGTAGCCGAAATGTTCGATTTTTGCCAAAGTTCAAAAGTAAACAAATCATGCTACACGTCCAATACACGTCAACTGGTGAGTCTAATATTCTTTCACAAGTGCGCTGATATTATTTATACCATTTCTGCACTAATGCAGTAGTCAGCATAATGGTAAATCTTCTATTTTTTGTGAAAATAAAAATTCAAAGTGGAAAGCAAAAGAATGTAAGAGGGGCATGGGGACGTGACTAATGAACAGAGGAAATGTTTTAAATTTTAGTGCCAGGAATGTCTTTCTTGTTTATTCTGGACCCTATTTGGAAATTGACATCTTTTTAAATTTGTGTGAAATTGGCAAAATTGCTAAATTCTGACCACTTTATTGGATAGTTGATATCGGTAAATGGGTGGTTTCTTGTACTTATTTGATAGAAAAAATAGTTCTAGCAAAATAGTTATGAGTTTTGTTGACTAGTACACTGGAATTGGCCAAAAATAGGGCTCAAAATGGGCAAAATCGCTGATGCATAAACATCGTTGAGACCGATAACTTTGCAAGAGAGCGTAATTCCGTAAGTTTTCCATCAAATTTTATACTTTTGGTGTCATTATGATCGAGAAAAGAATCTCTATCTTTTCATAAGAATTTTTTTTTTTTTTTTTTTTTTTTTTTTTTTTTTTTTTTTTTTTTTTTGAAAATTTGTCAACCCTGAGAACAAGTCTAGGAGAGGGCCTGTCGACCCTGAAAGGGTTAATCATCAGACAATGGGAAACATGAATATAAAAAGGTGTCCAGGAGAGTTACCATCTCCCTTCCTATCAGTACATTGGGGATAGCAGCTTGCATCACGGTATACATGTACTGTGATGCTGCAGTGTGATAGTCAGAATTAGACAGTGAACTTTTTTTTTTTTTTTTTTTTTTTTAGAATGAGTACAGGCACTGTACTTGCAGTCTCCAGGACTCAAGTCTAGCTAACTGGCTTTTTTTCTGTTTTTCTGAATTCCTTCATATATGTTATCTTGCTCACATTCCTAGAGCATGTCAAATTCTAGAAACCATTTGTCTTCACTTCAGTCTTAACATTCTCATTCTCTCATTCTCTCTCATTCATTCTCTCTCTCATTCATTCTCTCTCTCATTCATTCTCTCTCTCATTCATTCTCTCTCTCATTCATTCTCTCTCTCATTCATTCTCTCTCATTTATTCTTCTCTCATCATTCTCTCTCTCATTCATTCTCTCTCTCATTCATTCTCTCTCTCATTCATTCTCTCTCTCATTCATTCTCTCTCTCATTCATTCTCTCTCTCATTCATTCTCTCATTCATTCTCTCATTCATTCTCATTCATTCTCTCATTCTCTCTCCATTCTCTCTCTCATTCTTCATTCTCCTTTATTCTCTCTCATTCTTCTCTTATTCTCTCTCTCATTCTCTCTCTCATTCTCTCTCTCATTCATTCTCTCATTCATTCTCTCATTCATTCTCTCATTCATTCTCTCATTCATTCTCTCATTCATTCTCTCATTCATTCATTCATTCATTCATTCATTTCATTCATTCATTCTCTCTCTCTCTCTCTCTCTCTCTCTCTCTCTCTCTCTCTCTCTCTCTCTCTCTCATACACACACACACACAACCCTCCCTCTATTTACCTACCTGCTGGATACTAAAGCCTTTAGCATTACAATCTCTTTTCAGTTCCTTCCCCGACCCTTCCTGGGATGAGCCCTACCCCTCCTTTCCTCCACCATGTTTTTTTTTCTTTTTTTGCACTGTCTTTGTTATATTCTGCTCTATCCTTTTTAAACGGCCACACTACCTCAGTAACCCTCCCCCTTCCCTGTCCTATGAATAATACTTTAGATAATCCCATACTGTCTTCTAATTTTTATGCTTTGAATTCTTTTCATAATATTGAAACCATACACTGCTATCAAACACCCCTCCTTGTCTTGCACAATATAAAGGATTGGCACCATTATACTCTTAAAGTGCCTGATCAGCCAAGTTGTGATGGCTGTGTTGGCATATAGGCTGCAAGCACTAACATTTTGGCAGATCTGGATACTAGGATGCCTCCAGCCAGTTGAAAAGGGAATCTCTCTAAAATTGCCTATGATAGGTTTTGATATTGCACATATAAGAAGTGTGTCTTTATTTAGCTCTCTCAACTTTTTTGTGTGTACATGTGTACATATGTACGTATGTATAATTGTACATGTACAGTGTGTGTGTGTGTGTGTATATATTTATGAGACGGCCGACTTGTTGAAAAAAAATATATATATATTTAAGTATGTATGGGTGTCAGTGATTGTTCATGTGTGTATATGTTAATACATGTATATGTATGTCAGTATGTACATGCATATGTATGTTAGTATCTACATACACCCAATTAAGTACCGTTAAAAAAAGTGTTGGCAATTCCTGTTATATTTGTTTCTTTGTTACAGATTGGCCCACTGTCTAGTAATGAAGCAGCAGGCAAGGCACTCCAACTATTTGCTACACGTGCCAGACTGTGTGAGGTGGTTGGTGCCAAAGTTGCCAGGTCCAGTCAGTCACTGACACTAAGTAGTGGTGTTAGCACTGCCTCTGCTCAGGGGCACACTTCTTCAGAAAGCACAGCCACCTGTTCTCTAGTGCGGGATGTTAATATGGCAGGCGCATTGACCCCAAGCACTCCCTTGCCCCCTTTGTCACCACAGGTGGATGGCTCTAGCAAAACTCCTGGACTCACAGAGAAGACGCTTTCCCTCACCATAGCCGAGTGTCATAGTTCAAATAATTATGCTAAACTTAGGCGACTATTATGGGCAGTATTTTCTAATGAAGTAGCTCTCAGACATAGCTTTCTAAGAAGCCCAGATTCGGAAGAAAGGTCAGATAACTCATTAATAGGATTCAAAAGTTTAGATAATTCTAGGGTTCAAAGCAAAGAGGAGTTACGCGCACTAGAAAGAGATTTAGACAAAGACCTAGATTGTGCCGAGGTTGTGTGTGTTGGGGAAGGTGCAACCAGTAGTTGTGAGGGAAATGAGAAAGATAAAGATGAAAGTCAGTGCGTTAAGGATGCCAGTTTGCCATCTACTCTGGATATCAGCGAAGTACGGAGAGCTTATGCTGCTCTGTTTGAGTGTTCTGAGGCAGAGTTTGGAAGTACACTGATGAATGCCATTGTACAGCTGCTGTCCGATTCTCTTAGTATACAGCTCCGTGCTCATAGAGATGCATTTACTGCCATACCAAATAATATCAACATTTTCATTATTCTTTTAGAAAGTCCAGCATTAAATACCACCGATTTTATTGAGATAGTGATGCCAAAGATGTGCCGAACAATCAGTCAATTGCCTGAAAAAGATCAGGCCCTCTTGACTAGACATTTGGCATCGTGGGAGGGGACACGGTTACATCGATTACTTGAATCTCTTCATCAGTTAATTACCATCAAGCTCCTTACCACTGAATTCTCTCGAGATTTTACCATCAATGATGAAGACAGCATTACCTCTGCAACACAAGTCATGAAGCTTTTGTTCTATGCCAGTATATTGGGAGGTGAATTAGACACTCCTCTGTTAAAAGACATACCCCCTGAAGAATCTTCCATTGAATCTATGCCTTTGCATGATGACCCATTTCTTGGTGTGAGTGGTGCTGGCAAAGATTGGGCAGCGAGGGCACCACCCAAGGACTCCTTAGGCACAGAACTTGGTGTACATGTCTTGGATGCTCGGACACCACTTGTGCCCCTTGCAGAGTTTTATGATGATTTTCTTAGTGACCAGTTGGAAATGGACAGAGATTTTGCTTACTATAAAGCAGGAAGTGGTGACAAGTTTAGCTTTCTTAACTACCCTTTCATCCTCACGGCAGCAACAAAAGCTCTTGGGCTCTACTATGATAATCGAATACGGATGTATTCTGAAAGAAGGATAAGCATTTATCAGCAAGTCATGGAGGGTATGCCTGCAAATCCTTACTTAAAACTCAGAGTGCGAAGAGACCACATAATTGATGATGCTCTTGTAGAGGTATGTAGTTATATATTCTCAGTTTGTGATAAATATTTTGGCAGTTTGGAGTTTGACTTTTAAACTGTCGTATCTGAGCGCCTTTGCAAAGACAGTGATTATGTATGAGTGAGGTGAAAGTGTTGAATGATGATGAAAGTATTTTCTTTTTGGGGATTTTCTTTCTTTTTTGGTCACCCTGCCTCGGTGGGAGATGACCGACGTGTTGAAGAAGAAAAGATTTGATATTGCCACATAATCATGATATTTTAATTTTCATTCTAGAAGTATCCATGAGTGAATGCAAAATTTCACATATTCAAAACTTAGGCGACCCATGCTGCGGTAAAAGGAGTTTCCAGTTTTATCAGTTTTCTTCATAATGAAGTATGTACTACATTTTTAAAACCTTTGACTACTGTTTTTAAGCCAGTCACACCTTTCAGCTAACCTTCCTTTGAATGTTCCTAGCACCACCTTCCATCTACATCACATTTATACACCCTGATAATCAACTTTAATTGCTCAACCCTTTCAAAATGATCAAACAAACCATCTCGGCAACTTTTATTCTGGTCCTTGAATTTTACCATAGACTTATTTCTTTAGGTAGTAGGTTGGTAGACAGCAACCACCCAGGGAAGTACTACCGTCCTGCCAGATGACTGTGAAACAAAAACCTGTAACTGTTTTGCATGATGGTAGGATTGCTGGTTTCTTTTTCTGTCTCATAAACACGCTAAGATAACAGGGATATCTTGCTACTCCTACTTACACTTTGGTCACACTTCACAGACACGCACATGCATATATATATATACATACATCTAGGTTTTTCTCCTTTTTCTAAATAGCTCTTGTTCTTTTTATTTCTTCTATTGTCCATGGGGAAGTGGAAAAGAATCTTTCCTCCGTAAGCCATGCGTGTCGTATGAGGCGACTAAAATGCCGGGAGCAATGGGCTAGTAACCCCTTCTCCTGTATACAATTACTAAAAAAGAGAAGAAGAAAAACTTTATAAAACTGGGTTGCTTAAATGTGCGTGGATGTAGTGCGGATGACAAGAAACAGATGATTGCTGATGTTATGAATGAAAAGAAGTTGGATGTCCTGGCCCTAAGCGAAACAAAGCTGAAGGGGGTAGGAGAGTTTTCAGTGGGGGGAAATAAATGGGATTAAATCTGGAGTATCTGAGAGAGTTAGAGCAAAGGAAGGGGTAGCAGTAATGTTAAATGATCAGTTATGGAAGGAGAAAAGAGAATATGAATGTGTAAATTCAAGAATTATGTGGATTAAAGTAAAGGTTGGATGCGAGAAGTGGGTCATAATAAGCGTGTATGCACCTGGAGAAGAGAGGAATGCAGAGGAGAGAGAGAGATTTTGGGAGATGTTAAGTGAATGTATAGGAGCCTTTGAACCAAGTGAGAGAGTAATTGTGGTAGGGGACTTGAATGCTAAAGTAGGAGAAACTTTTAGAGAGGGTGTGGTAGGTAAGTTTGGGGTGCCAGGTGTAAATGATAATGGGAGCCCTTTGATTGAACTTTGTATAGAAAGGGGTTTAGTTATAGGTAATACATATTTTAAGAAAAAGAGGATAAATAAGTATACACGATATGATGTAGGGCGAAATGACAGTAGTTTGTTGGATTATGTATTGGTAGATAAAAGACTGTTGAGTAGACTTCAGGATGTACATGTTTATAGAGGGGCCACAGATATATCAGATCACTTTCTAGTTGTAGCTACACTGAGAGTAAAAGGTAGATGGGATACAAGGAGAATAGAAGCATCAGGGAAGAGAGAGGTGAAGGTTTATAAACTAAAAGAGGAGGCAGTTAGGGTAAGATATAAACAGCTATTGGAGATAGATGGGCTAATGAGAGCATAGGCAATGGGGTCGAAGAGGTATGGGGTAGGTTTAAAAATGTAGTGTTAGAGTGTTCAGCAGAAGTTTGTGGTTACAGGAAAGTGGGTGCAGGAGGGAAGAGGAGCGATTGGTGGAATGATGATGTAAAGAGAGTAGTAAGGGAGAAAAAGTTAGCATATGAGAAGTTTTTACAAAGTAGAAGTGATGCAAGGAGGGAAGAGTATATGGAGAAAAAGAGAGAAGTTAAGAGAGTGGTGAAGCAATGTAAAAAGAGAGCAAATGAGAGAGTGGGTGAGATGTTATCAACAATTTTGTTGAAAATAAGAAAAAGTTTTGGAGTGAGATTAACAAGTTAAGAAAGCCTAGAGAACAAATGGATTTGTCAGTTAAAAAATAGGAGAGGAGAGTTATTAAATGGAGAGTTAGAGGTATTGGGAAGATGGAAGGAATATTTTGAGGAATTGTTAAATGTTGATGAAGATAGGGAAGCTGTGATTTCGTGTATAGGGCAAGGAGGAATAACATCTTGTAGGAGTGAGGAAGAGCCAGTTGTTTAGTGTGGGGGAAGTTCGTGAGGCAGTAGGTAAAATGAAAGGGGGTAAGGCAGCCGGGATTGATGGGATAAAGATAGAAATGTTAAAAGCAGGTGGGGATATAGTTTTGGAGTGGTTGGTGCAATTATTTAATAATGTATGGAAGAAGGTAAGGTACCTAGGGATTGGCAGAGAGCATGCATAGTTCCTTTGTATAAAGGCAAAGGGGATAAAAGAGAGTGCAAAAATTATAGGGGGATAAGTCTGTTGAGTGTACCTGGTAAAGTGTATGGTAGAGTTATAATTGAAAAAATTAAGAGTAAGACGGAGAATAGGATAGCAGATGAACAAGGAGGCTTTAGGAAAGGTAGGGGGTGTGTGGACCAGGTGTTTACAGTGAAACATATAAGTGAACAGTATTTAGATAAGGCTAAAGAGGTCTTTGTGGCATTTATGGATTTGGAAAAGGCGTATGACAGGGTGGATAGGGGGGCAATGTGGCAGATGTTGCAAGTGTATGGTGTAGGAGGTAGGTTACTGAAAGCAGTGAAGAGTTTTTACGAAGATAGTGAGGCTCAAGTTAGAGTATGTAGGAAAGAGGGAAATTTTTTCCCAGTAAAAGTAGGCCTTAGACAAGGATGTGTGATGTCACCGTGGTTGTTTAATATATTTATAGATGGGGTTGTAAGAGAAGTAAATGCGAGGGTCTTGGCAAGAGGCGTGGAGTTAAAAGATAAAGAATCACACACAAAGTGGGAGTTGTCACAGCTGCTCTTTGCTGATGACACTGTGCTCTTGGGAGATTCTGAAGAGAAGTTGCAGAGATTGGTGGATGAATTTGGTAGGGTGTGCAAAAGAAGAAAATTAAAGGTGAATACAGGAAAGAGTAAGGTTATGAGGATAACAAAAAGATTAGGTGATGAAAGATTGAATATCAGATTGGAGGGAGAGAGTATGGAGGGGGTGAACGTATTCAGATATTTGGGAGTGGACGTGTCAGCAGATGGGTCTATGAAAGATGAGGTGAATCATAGAATTGATGAGGGAAAAAGAGTGAGTGGTGCACTTAGGAGTCTGTGGAGACAAAGAACTTTGTCCTTGGAGGCAAAGAGGGGAATGTATGAGAGTATAGTTTTACCAACGCTCTTATATGGGTGTGAAGCGTGGGTGATGAATGTTGCAGCGAGGAGAAGGCTGGAGGCAGTGGAGATGTCATGTCTGAGGGCAATGTGTGGTGTGAATATAATGCAGAGAATTCGTAGTTTGGAAGTTAGGAGGAGGTGCGGGATTACCAAAACTGTTGTCCAGAGGGCTGAGGAAGGGTTGTTGAGGTGGTTCGGACATGTAGAGAGAATGGAGCGAAACAGAATGACTTCAAGAGTGTATCAGTCTGTAGTGGAAGGAAGGCGGGGTAGGGGTCGGCCTAGGAAGGGTTGGAGGGAGGGGTAAAGGAGGTTTTGTGTGCGAGGGGCTTGGACTTCCAGCAGGCATGCGTGAGCGTGTTTGATAGGAGTGAATGGAGACAAATGGTTTTTAATACTTGACGTGCTGTTGGAGTGTGAGCAAAGTAACATTTATGAAGGGATTCAGGGAAACCGGCAGGCCGGACTTGAGTCCTGGAGATGGGAAGTACAGTGCCTGCACTCTGAAGGAGGGGTGTTAATGTTGCAGTTTAAAAACTGTAGTGTAAAGCACCCTTCTGGCAAGACAGTGATGGAGTGAATGATGGTGAAAGTTTTTCTTTTTCGGGCCACCCTGCCTTGGGTGGGAATGGGCCCGGTGGATAAAAAAAAAAAAAATTATTCTTTTGTAAATTTCTCACATTTTTAACTCTTTTTCCCTAATCTTTTGTGTTTTTTTTTTGTTTCCATCTACATGCCCCACACACAGTATCCAATACCTTTACAGTTCCATTTTTTTTTTTTTTTTGTCTTCACTAAAATATTTTTTTCACAAATTAATTACCATGCTCGTTCTGAAATTTCCCCTTCTTAAAACCCCTTTAAAACCCCCCCATTCTTGCAACTTTATTTATACTGGTTTTTTCAAACCCCGCACAAAAAAAATTTACTTCAGAATGTATACACCTCCCTCCGAATTACACTGCTCGATTCGACCACTCGACTTACGACCGGTTTTTTTTTTTTTTTTCCAAATTTTGGGGAAAAAACAAATTTGTGTTGTAACGGTTTACCTAAACCTTTCAGTATAAAATACAGTCTAACACATAAAAGTAAAGTAAAAAATGAAAAAACCAGAATAAAAACAAAAAATAAAGTTTTACAAAAATGGATGTTGATACAGTGGGCCCTCGTTTTTCGTAGTTTTTTAAGTTCCCGGGTTGCTACTTTATGAATCTACGATTTTCGAATCAATTTTCCCCATAAAAATAAAATTTAAAAACAATTAATCCGTTCCTGATTCCCCGAAGTATTAAAACAAAAAAATTTTTTTCATGAAATATAGATGTAGTACATAAAACAAACAGTGGGAAATGAAATGAAACATTAAAAAGCATAACACTTACCCTTTTTGGAGAAATTTTTGTTAGTGTATGGGAGATGGGGGGAGGAGATTGGATTGTTACAGTTGGAAAGGGGAATCCCCTTCCCCCCAACACC